GCCCATGCCTCCATCTATCTCCATCATTACCACCCCCCCATTATTTTTGTCGTCCCTGCTCTTTGTTTCCTCTCTCCCTCCCTCCTTATCTGTCCATCTCAATTATTCTCCTCCCCGTCATCGCCTCCCCTCCTCCCCTCCGTACCCCCACCGCCAGGCCAGTCGCCTCTCACTTTCTCTCTGTCTCCCCTTTATGCCCTTCCCTCTTCCCTCCATCTTTACTCAAACCTGTAAAAGGGTATTGAGCTCCTCTTTCCATCAGAAGCAATTCAATTAGATCTCTGCCTTATGAGAGTTTTTTTACTATCCAAATGGGCCCTGGCTGCTGCTGCTGCTGCCTCTGCTCCAAATTCTTTCAAGGGAAGAGAGGCGAGGGGGGTGATGGATATAGGCATTCATTTTAGCTCGTTGTCAAGGTCTCCCCCTCTAAAAGGCAATCTTTTCACTCTAATGGATAAATTTGTGTGGATGTATGAAGGGTGAACAGATGAGGGAGTTTGTAAATAGACTCTTTGTTTCAGTCTCTCTGGGTATTGTACACAAAACATTCACTCATGCTTGAAAATGTCATACATGGTAGTTAGAGAAAGTGTGATATTTTAGGACTGGTTGCTAATACAGAGATGAGATTTAGACTTGAAAATCATTTTCCTAAGCCGGAAGACTTAGGCAAGGCCTTCTTTTACCTTTATCCTTGCTTTCATGTGGATCCACCCTTCACGGCTGAAGTGGATTTTGCAGGTCAAATCTGAACAGGATCGTAGCTTTCATCTCGATTCCCTATGGTTTGTTTAGTTTGTGGAAAGGAGGAGTTTTTATTATGTTACCCATGAAGTTTATGTTGACTGTATAAAAGTCTTTGTTCTACATCTTGCTCTTTCCTTTTGCCCCCTTTTCCCTTCGGAGATTGCTGGTATCCAGCTGTCTGTGTGTGTTGACTGTACCAGCCATCATGCTGCGACACACAGACACACAGACACACACACAGACACAGGGTTAACTCCCCCACCCATCTCAGACAGACACAGGGAGGGCTCAGCATGACATACAAACGGCACCCAGGGCAATGCGTTGGGGAGCATCAACATTCATGTTTCCATCACGGGGCGTGCATTCACTGACACGCATACACGCACTCACACATACTCACGCGTACAGTTTGACATGTGCATGAGGCATCTCCGGAGACACATGCGGTTCAGTGCATCAAAACTTGCCTGCATACACACACTTACGGCCATTATTAGATCACCCTATTTGAAGATTAGAGGCAACTCAGAAAACAAAGCATCTTCAAAGGCAGAGAGGGGAAGAGAGACAAGGAGGATGGTCAAGGAGGGGCGGGGAAGTGGGGAGTGGGTGTGTTGGAGGAGTGAGAGGAGAGAGGGGGGAAATCTCTGGTGTGTTGTGATGCCCCAGTTGCCGATTTGGTTCTTCCGCCACTTATTTATCCTCATCAGTCGCTTCTCTGTGTTATCCTCTGTTGGCTCTGCGGTTCCCTCGCTCCTACCTAATAATGGGCCTATTACTAGCTGAGATTGCCACTGTTTGACAGTCCTGAGCACACTTGGGTGCTTCAGACGCTTATTCCCACTTAGATTCTGCGGTTACGCGGAGGTCCCGCTCATGAGACACTAGTAGGACTTAGGTTTGAGGTCGAGTTGTGGTGTGTGAGTGGTGAAGCATTTAAAGATTTGGTTGTAGTTGCGAGCTCAGTAGGAGCGCTTGTTTGGGGGATGTTCACAGCGGGGCTGTTATTTAGTTGGTGGAAGTAATGTATAATAATGATTTATGGTGAGCAATCACTTAAAGTTTTTTTTATTCTGCACTAAAATCATTTTAAAATCATTTATGCATTAGCCACTTTATTTACCCAATATTATACTTATTGCACTTTTTAGTATGTTATATTTTCTTAATATTCTAGCACTCTCTATTCCTCTGCTACTTCTATCTATTCTGTACATTGCATTAAAGAGGCATCCCTCCTCTGCTTCCTTATCTGAGCCGAGGGTCTTAAGAATTGACAGACTGTAACGCCCCCTGAGATAAACAAGTGTTTGTGTGCTAAATACTTAAATAAAATCAATCTGAATTTAAAGTTGTAGCATTTGGCAGTTAATACCATTGCCAAATGTGGATGTATGGGAAACTGAGAGTATTGGGACTACATAAATATAAGCAAATAAAAGTATTGTAAAGTTCATTGGTTTCAAGATCAGCCTCATGTTTGTTGTTAATCGGCGTCATCAACTTCTTTCTTCTGAGATTTCTCTCATTTTCCTTAACTGAGTTGTCAGTGCTTGTTAGTGTAATTTTGTTTTGTTGCTGCTGTTTTGTTTTTCCCTTTCTGCCTTTATTGTTTCTAAGTTGCTCTGTTTCTCTTACTCCTTGGGGCTCTTTAACCTCATCTGCATGAATTAGTGTTTTCAATCTGCATCTTTTTAATTATTGAACTTTATTGCACTTTGGAATTGTTGAATTGCTTCTGTTCCTCAGTGCTGTGTCCACTGTAAACCACACCATTGACTTGTGCTTAACTGATTTGTCCTGACCCTGAGGTAATTCACTGGTGATACATTCAAGCCAAGTAGTTAGAATTCTCACATTAGACAACTGGCATTAGTGACAAGCGGCACATAATGATTTTTCATGTCAAGTTCAGTTAATTATCCTGAGGAGTACTACTTGTATATTGTCTAAAAACACTTGTATATTGTCTTCTGTGGCTCTGGAAGGAGATCTGCAAGTCGGCTTGGGCATGGAGTCTACAGATTTTTTTAATGGCTAGCTGCTTTCTAAATAGAGGTGCACAGTTCATTTAATTTCAGTTCAATTTAATTCAATTGGCAGAAATAGTTTATAGATGACACACTATTGTCTGCATTATGGGAAATGTAGGATCCAACATTTTTGGAGCTTAATTTGGGACAAAATCCAAGCACTTGTGACAGATGATGTTGATGATTTTGTGATCAAATGGTCACTTTTTCCATCAATGAGTTTGCGGTGTTATACCCAACGACACTGAGTGTGAAACAGTAGCCATCGAGGGGGTTCTGGGGGCTTAGGTTCTTACAAGCCACTAAAGTCAGTATAGTCCATCCCTCTGCACGCTTCTTCTACACTACCACCACCAAACACCACAGGCAGTGCTGGAGCTGAACCTTGAGGAACAACTCTTATCTTGAGGCAGGGAATTTCCCATGTGTCACTCTAAGGCATACTCTCTCTCAATGAAGGTTGCGACTGCACACTACAAACACACTTTAGTAGGTCCACAATGTTAGCATATAAGTATATAACTGTATAAAGACAGGAGAGCCATGGTTTGTTCACTGTGCCCTCTGAATACAGCGATAATCACGGTAATGACAGCCAGCCCTGCCAACCGAAAGGGTGGGGCCCCTAAAAAGGTCCAGTGAATGGGCCCTTCCCAAATCTGCCTTCCTTATATCAACACGTGTGTGTGCTCTATTTGTTCTATGTAACATGATTATTGCTGGCCTCCATGGGCCGGACCCCAGAAAGCTTTCCCCTTTTTCCACTCTTATGACGGCAATAGAAACTTTTGTTGCCATCCGTGATTCACTGCGTGATATAGTGACACACACACCTGCACATCTCTACTTATGATATGAGTCTGTGATTATTGCATTTGACAAGTGTTGTAATTTACTGTGTGGGATCTTGCCTCATGTTATTCAATTACTGGTTTTCGACATTTCCCAGAATATCCTTTGACTCCTAGAGAATGTGACTTAACATCTTAAAACTTGAAGGTGTAGAGAGAAGTATAGCACCCTGCAAGGAACAAAACTGCTCCACATAGCGCGGAAAATTTCCAAAGGCTCCTTTCTTTTTTGGCATTTCTGACTTGGACACTACAACCAGACAGAAAAGATTTGGGATGGGAGAATTTTCTTGACTCTCAAGATCACAGTCCAAATTCAAACCCAGGACTTTATTGAGCCATTTGCTGGTCCTCTTTTGAGCTACTTGTTTTTTAAGCTGCAAAAACTGTGGTGGTGGTAAACAAAGTCAGAAAGTGTGGCACGCTCACTGAATTACATAATCAACTTGTACATTTTAAATGGTGAAACTGGGCCTTGCTTTCAGCTCAGATGACACTTTGTTGCAGAAAGACTCCAGCTGTGCGTTGGACTGTGAAAGAAAGCCGAGTACA